ATTCCATTATGCTTTATTATTCTTCCATTTCTGTTACTCATAATATTGTTTGTGTAATATCCTTTTAACTTAGACATAATTTTCATAGTTGTCCCTGCATATGATTATGGATTACAATGAATCATTATCTCATTTAATTCAATTACATGCGGTTTTAATCATTGCTGTTAAACCAACCTTGCAGAACTGTCATTAATACTTACAGATGCATGCAAAGCAAACCAGACAGTTGTTTATCACGATGCTTATGAAGAGCAATGGGTAATGTCAATTTAGTCTTTTGCCAGACCCATTTTTGTCTGGGATAATAGGCGAAAAGCTATAATAAGCTGTTTTATTCTCAGCATCTCAGTGGAAAATAAGTTGCCTGAAGAGATTTTTTTAAAAGCTAAAATAATTGCATGCTGTATGTGATTTGTTCTGCTGTTCAGCTTGAGTTCATTATTGATCCTCTACTGTTTCTTGTGATCTCTATTATCTGTAATGATCTAGTGTACAAAGAGCCTTACATCTGTAATTTTGTCATAACATCTGATTTATAAAATTGTCTCCTGAGATATCCAGCATCTCACTTAATCAGACATATTGTTATGTCATTAGCCAACACAGCTGGGCAAAGCAGAGTTTATTTTTATAGTGGCAGCACTATTCCAGTCTTACATGAAATAGAAGGCAGATGAAGAAATATCCATTTAAAAGGAATCAAAAGTTTCCTAGGACTATTGTATTCTATTTCAAACATGAGAATTTCAAGTTTATGCTTTTGTAGGAAATTTTAATACAATACTTTTAGTCTGATTACAGAAGAGCACTATGAAACTCTTACAGTTCAGGAGCACTGCTTTAGGAAGGTGTTGCAGCATCTGATTAACTTCAGGTAGTCTCACATCTGAAATGTCCATTTATGTACTCTGAGCTGAAATCAAGAAAATTAGTTATACTTTATTTAGAATATATGGAAAATAACTCATTTAGCCCAGACTGAATGTTTTGTCATATATTCTAAATAAAATAGTGTCAATTTTCCTCTGTCACTTCAAAACAAAGGAGTATCTTTCAAAACCGTGCTAGTTACATAAAAAATAAGATATATCATATACTATAGAAAAACTGTAGGGAAGCTCTGTGACATGCTAAATATTCCAGAAGGGAAGACGGAGCCCTCAGCACCAGGCAGTATTATGGCTTCTACTTGGAAAAAACCTGTAACTGAGATGCATTTCAACCCCCCCGTTATGTGGCAAAATCAACAGTAAATGTTAATGAAGTGATGGATGACTCATACTTTCTTGTTTGTCACGCAGAGTCTGTGTGCAATATTTGAAAAATGAAATAGGATCTGTTGCAAACCTCAGAGAAGGCAGCAGCTTCGGTCTCCTGTAATGAAGAAATCCCTTTTCTTATAGTCCAAAGGCATCAATGTCATTTCATGTTTAAGGTCTCTTCCACACAGAGGATCAAAGCAGATTTTTTGCCTGTTCTGTTTCATTGGTCTGGGAGACTGACAGGCGGAAACCCTGGCCACTGATGGGGAGAGAACAAGTCTTAGCTAACACAACTTGAAAATACTGTGCTTACGTGCTGTGACATATGTACAGTTAGTTATTCCTTCTAATAATTTATTATTATTATATATTAATGGAAACAGTTTGAGGTTTTATTATTATTTAAAATAAGTGGTGGTTGAGGACATATGAAAAAGAGGGTAAAGCGTGATGTTGAAGGAGAAAAGGTGAAGTCTTAGGGAGAGGACATGCATTTAAGGAGTATCAGTCTTCCTTCTCCTAAAACTTTCACATGCAGTCATATGTCTGTGAGAATTGATCTTACTGACAAAATACTAGTAAGATTCAATTTGAAAAATATATAGATTTTTTTCCACTAATGCTGACCACTTCATAATTACACCATGACCCTTCATATGAGGAGCAGAATAATTGATGCCTTGGTAGAACACTAATGAGATAAAATGTCATCTCTTTTCTGAGAATAACCAGATTACTCAGGTTTAGAATTTTTAGCTAAAATTAATTTATATTGCTTAATTTTTATCTTTTAAAAAACCAAGTGCACAGCTGTATTTTCCCTCAGACTGCTGTGATACATTTATCGATTGCTTCAAAAGGCAGTTTGTTGAAAGCAATTTTGTATAAGTTATATTTATTAATTGAGATTGTTGAAAGAGTTTGTAATATATTACGGCTGTGAATAATAATATTTATTGGTGTATGAAGTTAAAGATTCCAGACTAATAACTCATGTTGCCATTGATTGATTATGCATCCTGGCTGATCTGCTTGTACTAACTTTCAGCAAGCAGAATACAGACAGGGCTAGAAATGGATGGAAAGAGGTAAAAAAAAAAAAAAAAAAAAAAAAAAAAAAAAAAAGAACAGGAAAAAAAAAGCAACCTGAAACCACAAATTATCATGGTGTTCTTGAACCAGGACTTGGGAAGTAACCATTGAATCCAGGGGCTTATTGCAATTTTCATTCTAAAGATGCAGCCTCCTGCACCTCATTTCAATATCTGATGCACTTGGAAGAGTTATGCAAAGGAAAGCAGTCCCTCAGGTAGCTGTCTGTCTCACCCACCTCTCTGTGAAACATGTAACCGGTGAGGGTAACCAGAGAGCACTTGGATCAGCTTTACAGCCCTGGGTGGTGCTGGGAACCATGAAGTGGTGAAGCGACTTGTTTTTATGTCCTAATGTAATTGCTCATTTTGCTTCTCAACCAGGGAGTGCTGGGCACGCTCCCATCAAACACCAGGTTCTCACACTCTTATCTGACCACTTCAGATTCATACAGCTGTCCATCAGAAATGATTTTCCATGCTACTGCATTATGTAATCCCTCAGAAAGCTCCTACTTTCCACTGCCTTTCCTTATCCTTAAGCAAGCAGTCTTTGATAGCATCTTTGGAAAATAAACTTCAGAAAATGTTGATTCCTAAGTAATCCTTGTTTGTAAACTCAGAAAGGTGAACGAAGCTGATTGATTTTGAGATCGTTTATGTCTCATGTCTGCTGAAATCAGAATGCCAGTGAGTGTTAGATGCATTACATCCTCTCTGATGGAAGTACTCACCAAAAGTAGGACAAAAGTCTCCAAAATACTGTAGTGCAAACAAAAGTCTCTTGCAAAAAAGCAGCTAATGTTTGTTGTACGATCCCCTTTTTTTATTATCAAAAATTCTAGGTCTCCAAATTCTAGGTCTTCAAACTATTGTCTACTTAGTTTTCTGCTTTCATTAGTAACTGGCATTTTACTGAATGAATGGGGGATGTTTTAAATCTGCAGAGCTTTTGGAGTTGTTAAGACCTATATCCTGAATATCAGATGAAAAATGAAATTATTAACGAACTTGAATAATGCACAAGTCCCTACCAAGTGGACACTGACCCAATTTTTTTAAAAGCTAAGAATGATTACCTTGTAGTAAAACTTGGATTAATCGAAACAACATCACCAGGAGAGTACACATGTTTTAGTGAATATTATTTCAGGTCATATACATGTATATGACTTTAAGCAGAATACTCTGTTTCAGTAGAATGGTTTGAAGTATATCAGGTTCTCCACAAGGAAATTGAGATGATCTTTATAAAGCAGTGATGGGTGTTGCTTCATACTGAGACCAATAGTAAATTGAGAATAAAAGATATCAAAAGATGTAATTGAGAAATACCCTACATAGCCTGTGAGCATCCCAAAGAGTTGGCATTGCTTCTGTATCTTAATAAAGCCGTTTGCCACCTAAACCAGAAGAATTATCCAGAATAACAATGAAACAGGACACTGAAATATCAACTAACTAATTATAATCACAATAAATCAGAAGGCATCATTGCTGTCATTTGGCGAATGTTTCTGTCTCAGTAGTGTCTGTGGGAAAAAGAAATAAAGAGAATGTTTAGGCAAGAGATGCTTAGAAAACTGATGGAGGAGTCAGGGCGAGCCGTTAAGTTTTCATAACTCAGTTATCCTTCTTGCTAGTCTCCTGTGGTTATGAACTTGCAGCATGTCTGTGTGAGTGTGTTCTAGGCAGGCAGGGTTAGCAGCAAGGCTGAGATTTGTGTCTCTGCACTTATCTTTTCAAGTCAGATGCTGGTGTTGAGCTCAAGAAAACCGAGTCATGTGTTGGCAGTGAAGAGGGAGCACAGGGAACATTGATTTATCTGCACCTGCCCTCCTCTACACCCGTCAGCCCTGTGCAGATGAACACCGGGCTGCCAGAGTAGTTCTGAAGACCAGAGATAATGGTTTTAATCCTAGTGGTCAAGTGAGCAGCCAGGATTAAGTATTGTAGTTCCATTTAATTAATGACAAGTGTATTTTGCTGTATTTTAGGGAAGCTGTCAGTTTGCTGCTATGGAGTGAAACACTATCTGGGTACCAAGTGGAGTTATAAGGTTTACCTCCTGGCTTGGCTTCCTCCTGGAAGTTTTACAGCTTCCAGCTGTTATAAAGCACATTAAGCAGGAACTCTAAAAGCAATTTTATTTTATTTATGATTATAAAAAAGGTTAGTTGTAATGGGAAACCCAAAGCATTTAAAGATAGCAATAGGCAGTCTGAACACAACTCCTGCCTACCACTTCCCCTTTAGAAAGTAAGGAGTTGTTTTTCAGAGAATTAATATTCAGAGCAGGTCCAGTTCATCTTACCTGCTGGGTTCATTTTATTATATAATAAAATCTGATTTATTCTCATTTGGATATAGAGTATATAGCCATATAAGCATAAGCCATTTATAAACAGTTACTTTCCAAGTAGCATAATATAATACCTACTCTCTTAGGTATTTCTGAGGAATACCAAATATTACTTGCCAAAGGGCAGAGATAAAAAGCTGTGTTTCAGATCTGAACATTGTGCCTGAAGCTAATCACTGGTTATGCTGATAAAAAAAAAAAAAAAAAAAAAAAAAAAGCAGCAGGCTAGTATCCTTCCCCATTGAACTTTTCTGAGTCTGGTAAACCTAACTCTCCTTATATTTTACTTACAGAATGGTCTTATTGTTGCCTGCTACCAAGGTTATGTGGATATTGTAATAGCCTTAGCACAATGCCCTCACCTTGATGTGAACTGGCAGGACAATGAAGGAAACACGGCTCTAATTACAGCTGCACAGGCAGGTAAGGCTCTTTGTTTCACTTCTTACATACAGGGTGTGTTGTGGCTATTATTTTTAGGATTTTTTCAAAGCCCTAAAAGAAATCAGTCTGCATAAAACAATCCTGGCCAAGTCCACTCCCAAGTAAGTTTGTCATGATTTTCTTTGAACTAATTAATCTCCAGTAATATTTATCCAATGGATTAAGACAGAAAAAGCTATACATTTCTAGTAAGAAGCCATTAACTATTTTAACTTAAAAATAAAGAAAATATTTCCCCAGATGTACAGTACTATACTGCTTTTGGCCTTTAAGCTTATTTTCCTATGTTTGCTCTGGCAAGCAACCAGTCAACATTGTGGTCATGTAATGTGCTGTATTAATGCTGGTAGATCTCTTTTCTTATGCTTATTGCACCTACCTCAGTGGGTCTGTAGTAACTGCTGACTATAGGAAAATGTATCATCATTAAGAAATATCTTACCTGCTAAGACATTCTTCAACCACTCCATAGTCTCAGCAGGATTCAGTGTGTTCCAATGCTGCTTTTATAACAGACTGATTATATTGACATCAACCATGTTAATCCTGATGCAGACTGGAGTGAGAGCAGAGTTTATCCCCAAATTTTCTTTTATCCCACCCAGCATGGTGATATTCAATGAACAAGTATAACAGATCACATAAATGTAAGGGATGCTCCCAAAAGACTTACTAGTTTCAAGTGTACAGTTAAAAACAATCAATGGATTATTTCTGTTAAAACTGAAACACTGTGCTTTAACCTTTAGGGGAAGCTGTAGTTTCCTCTTACAAGTGTTAACAAAGTGCTAAAGTATGTAAATCAGGAAATATTTGACCAAGGAGGCAATCACTTTGTAGTCTAAAAGCTGTTCCAAGGGCTGCCTGGCTCTGCATCCATGGTTTCATTTGCATCTCTCAAGAGTGCTCCTCAAAGTCAGTCCCTTTACAAAGAAATGCTTACCTGGTCTTTGTTACCATGTCTTCTCACTGAGGAAGAATATGGGATGTTTGTGGGAGTTCAAGGGATATAGTATTCTCTCACAGACCTTGTTTGGCTGGAGGACACAAATTTCCATCAAGCAATGTCAGTGCACATTACAAGCCATGTCTAAAGATTGGATCAGTTTGACTTTGATGTTAATTTAGTAGTATTGCCACTAGGCATTTCCAGGTAATACCAGACTTTGCTTTGTGTTGTACCAAAAGGTGAACTCTTCTAAAGAAGGTGTGATAGGTCTTCAATAATGGAAGAAAGAATTGCAACCACAGTAGTCATGCTCATAGCAAAGTCATGAGTATAGTAGCTTTCCAAAAAAAAGTAGAGAAGTCTCCAAAACTCTAAACTCTTCTATTTATCTGCTCTAATATAAATTTGGACTATAAAAGGTTTAATACTGACTCCTTCCTGACCTTTACAACTCATGATAATGAGCTCAGAATTAATCCAGAGGGCTGTCATTGACTTGACACTCTCTGCCAGTGCTTGCTATTGATCCCCAAAGCAACTGGAAATTACTGTAGTCAGCAGAAGCTTATACAAACTCCTAACAACTTGGATGTTTCCCCTGCCTGTGATAATCCTGAGCTGCAGTGTTGACACCAGTTATTTAATTCATTATCACAAGATACTGCTTTAGTGCTAATAGAGATTACTGCGAGGTTAACATTGCAACCAGAGGAGCTAGAGTGCAATAGATGCTGCTTAATTATTGCTGAATGTTAAGTAGTAACACTGAGTAGTGTATTATAAAGAACTGAAAGCACAGCTTATGCAAGCGTTCCCTTAGTGGAGGATTTATTTGTTTTGTTTTTAACTTTTGGCCACGAAAATAATAATATTTTTGCAAAATAAATTACTCTGAGAGATCTCTGTTATTTATACCAAAAATAAGGGTTTTTCTTGTGGAAAGTCTAACAGCAAACCCACATTATTTCAGTTAATTGTAAGGTGATATCAGAAGGTTTCAGAAAGTGCTGCCATTTTTGTTATGACCCGCTGACCAGGCAGGCCATCGTGTATGGCCAGACTCCGAAGAATAAGATCTGGATGGGAAAGACACTGCAGTCCTGAGGTTATGTTCCTTGTGTTTCACAGGCTGCCTCTGTAACACGAGGAACAGATGCTAAGGGATATGACAGGGAGGCCTCTTTACTTTTGCTAGAGGAGTGTAAAATCCCCACTTGCCCATGCTGTTTCATGACTGCCCAGACATGATGCTCAAATCTGAGCATTAGCTTGAATTAAATAGAATTATCTTAAAGGCCAGCTAGAGTCTCAGAAAGTAAGTGAATTCAGTTCCTTATATTGCTTTTGATAATTTAAGATTCTTATCCTTCAAAGAAAGTATCTAAAGATGAAGTTTTTTGCATGGGCTGACCTGAGAAAAATGGTCTGGAGGGACCAGTAAAAAGCTGTACTTTCTTAACAAACTTATTAGTACAGAAACATAACCACAAACAAAGTGCTCTTCTTAGTGTGTAAATTTAAGGTTTGAAAGCTGGTCTGTTCACATGCTTTTCAGTATTTCTTAGAGACATAGGATCCCTTCTCAAAGACAGTTTGCCTTCCAAAACTGTGAATCTGTGGCAGCCTGCAGCAGGTAGTGCCCAGAAAAGGGTGGTGATGCTGTTAAAGCAGAAGCAAAATCATTAAACAGCAGTACAGCAGCAGGACAATGCAGAAAAAATGGGGGATTGATTCAAACAGGAGACTGAAATAAGAAGTTGGAAGGGAAGGAAGGAAGGAAGGAAGGAAGGAAGGAAGGAAGGAAGGAAGGAAGGAAGGAGAGTAGTTTCAAAAGAAGAGGAAACGGAGGAAAATTAAATTAACTTTTTTTTTTTTCCCAGTTCTGCTGCTGCTGAGGTGTATGGTAATTGGCATACACTGGTGTTTAGAGAGAGACATATTTGCTTATAAAGTATAGATGTTACAGGGTCCATTTTGGGGTAAGATTGCAGAGCTGGGAGCACAAAATTGGAAGTTATCCCAGTTTCTGTTTATTAAGGGAGACATGAGAACACCAACACTGAAAGCATCCAGAGGATAAAAGGTGCTGGGTGCCTTCAGTTCTATCCATCCATCAGAAAGCATTCACCACCTGTAGACCAAACACAGGCTTTTTGCAGGTACAATTTGAAATTGTGATGTTATATGACAGAGCATCTTCCTTACCATGCAGCTTATCCTTCTGCCTGTATTACATAGATTATTAGGTAATATTGTCATCATTATAGGCATTTCCTCTGTGGCAACAATTAAGTGAATTAAGCTATTACAGACATCTGTGCTGATCTCTAAATATGGTTCACAGGGCGAAGAAGTGTACCCTTAGCATGCCAGTTCTCACAGAAGATAGATCTGGCTTACAAAGAGCAAGAGCCTGATACGAATTCCGTATCTCCAAACTGGCTGAGGCCAGGCTAATATATTTTAGAGCTGCATGCAGCTTTCATAGCAGATTTTAAATCATGGAAGACTCACCTGGTTTACTATTTAGATACGCACTTCTAGTTCACCCAGACGCAGGAGAACTGAAGCAAACTTTATGGCCTTAAATCAAAAGTGTATGACAGGGTTTGAACAGAAACTTGGCAGCTCTGAGTTTTGCTTTGAATTTGATATCTGTTTGAACTAGAAATCTGAAGCAAACCTCAGAGGATAGAAGCTCCTGCAGATTAAAACTGAAGTGGTTTTCAGGAATCCCTGAGACACAAAACTTCTGAGAGTCACAAACCTCTTCATTTTCTTTGTTATTTTATTGCTGATATTTTTTTCTGTCCCATTTGAGGTCATCTGTAGTTCCCTGGAGAGTTTTGGCTGAGCAAGGTCTTTCAGGATTGACTCTTAGGATCATCCAAGATTTGCAAAATGTCTCTTACTTGCAGCTATACTTTTGGCAAAGGGAAGAACCTCTTTAGGAATGTAATAACTGCTGAAAAATCTTCCATTGTATTATTTCTCCTTGTTTCAGTTCCTGTCTCTGGTTTCTGTGGTCAAAAAGCAGTATTTCATCTGTTCCAAAACCATCATGAAGATGCACACTGTACATCAGTGAAACAGAGCATGTTCTGCAAAAGAATTTGGGCACAAAGATTCTCCCAGTAGTAACTGATACCCTGCTAGGATTTGATCTTATGCCATAAAGTCAGTGAAGCTGAAGCCTCTGTATTGAGTAAGCACAACCAGGTGACTTGATCTTGCCCTGAACCCAGTTCACTTTTGCTTTGTTCAGCTTGTTGCGGTCTGCCGTATCTTTATATTTCATTTGCATCACCCTGCACAAAGTACAGGGAGCTCCTTATTTGGTTTTCTCTGACTCTGGCATTGCTAAGCTGATCTGCGCTATCTCTACATCTGCTCAGGTTTCAGGAGAGTTTCTAATTACTCAGCAAGGTAACAGAGTCCAGCGAATTCTAGGAGATAAAGAGTAACACCTAGAAAACATCTTAAATTAATTGTTAAAGATTTTCTTAACTTGTTTTCCAAAGTGAATGCAGGACTATGTTGGTATAAAGCGACTGCTGATGAAATCTGCACCAGATGTGACACTATAGACTTTTTAAATTGTCCTGTATGAATTATAATCTGCTTCAGTAACATTTCTAGATGAATTTGAACGACATGCATCACCGAATATTCAGCTGGACTGTAGAGTGAGATGAGAGAATATTTTTACAGCGCCTAGTAATTAAATTGTGATTGTTGCAGCTGCCTGACAGACTGCATTATTTTATAAAGCATCAAAGCACCATAAAATGAATGACAAGTGAAGGGAAAACTGTTTTGAATGAGTCATAATGGCACTAGATATTCATCTTGTTCTGATAGTCCGGCTATAAAGACCTGATGTTTTAATTGGTCTTCTAACTATTTAGCCAGAGATGTCTTCAACTACTCAGTATGCCCTTGCTGTTATCCTAGTGTACAAGGCACATGAATGGCAACAACAATTGCTTTTAGAAACAGAACTTAGAAGTCATTTATTTTACTACCAAAAATGAACATCAGCCCCATTTTTGTATTGCTGGAGAGTAGACAAGTGGCTTTATGCTGGTCAGATGGAAAAATAAAAATGTGGGATTCTACACAAAATACTCCTTTGTCTCGTATCAGGCCTGGCACAGTTCATTAGTATTATTGGCTGGGACTACCATGTGCCAGCACTTTTCAAGGAAGCACCATGATTGTAAGGCTCAAATTTACCAGGGGAGGGAAAAAGCTGAACCACTGCGGTCAGTTCCCCCCAGGGATGGGCCTTCCTTCCATAAGCTGTAGGATTTCCCCCTGTGGTGCTATTCACTGAGTCAAGAAACTGAGGCCCCTTGCAACCTCAGAGTGAACATCTGGTCTTCAGTAATTCCCTTACCTTAAACTGACTTTTCATAATGGAGAGCAACTTGAGAGAAGGTGGGAACCCAGGTTTCCAGGCTCCTGTCTCAACACTTTGGTCACAAGTCAGTGTCACTTAACCCTAAGGCTGATGATTGAAATGAGCAGAAGAGGATACAAGGAAAAGAGATCTTATTAATTATCCGCATTTTTCCAGTTATTGAACCTGCAGGAGTACTTTTTGGTTTAACCTTGAGACAGCACCTTAACTCTGTGACATATTTTCTCTGCTTTTTCATTTCTTTTAAGGGCACATAACCATTACAAACTATTTGTTGAACTATTTTCCCGGGCTTGATATTGAGAAGAGGAATGTGTTTGGATACACAGCACTGATGAAATCTGCGATGCAGGGCCGAACTGAATGCGTGAAAGCCTTGATGTTGGCAGGTATGCAAAGTGCTTTGCTGTTTCATCATCATCGAACTGTAAATACTAGACAGTCACATGCAAATACCAAGAAGAAAACTGGCTCTTGGGGTGTTTACTCTGAGAGGTGTCGTGCAGCTTTCCCTGGCAATGAGTAAATGTCTTATCAAGGCAGTGAAGCCATGTACTCTGGTGCAGGAGCTCTCAGTTTGCATATGGAAACTCATCTAGGAGCTCTCCAAGAGCTCTCAGAGTGAAATTCATAGTCTCCAGGAGAGTTAGGGCAGTTTGATCATCAAGATTTTAGACAAGGAGTTAGTGAATTTCATGACACAGCTGGGAAAGACACAGGTCTCTTGCTGCCAGCTCTGTGGGTATGTGATGTGGTGGGACCACAGCCAGACCTCCACTTCTCCCTCCAGATGTGGCAGGTTCTGGGTCAAGGATTGGAGAGATTTGGGGGCTCTGGCTTCTGTCAGGAGAGTTGGGTGTAGGGTTCACATCACACAGGGGATATCGGTGGGAAATTTGGCGACATAGGGAATAACCTCTTTTTCTAGTTCCTCTACAGATCTGAGTTTGGTTTCCAGGTTTATGGGCAACTGGGCACCAGCAGGTCTGTATCTGCTGCAAGGAGGGAGTTGTGGCACAGGGAATGAGCAGATCCGTCTCTGCCCACCTTCCTCTCTTCACATCTGAGACCAGGAAGTATGTTGCTTGCTGTTGGCTCTTGAGTGCGATTGAATTTCCAGGTGTATACATTGCTAGGTGAAGGTGTCCCGGAGAGGAAACTTGGAAGGGCAAGAGGCACTGGGGCAACAGCCTCTACAGGAGCAGTCCCATCATACAGCACCTTTTAGCCACAATGTTGTATGCTAGCTCAGAATTTTTTAGTGCCCGTTATAAATTATCACTTAAAATAAAACTTAAATTCCAAGACCTTATGACATGTCGAATTGACTTTACAGTGTCATGGGTTTCTATTATTATCACTGGACATGTGATGGAAGCATGTTCTTTTTGTTTTGGTCACTAGGAGATATTTCACAATCTTTCCATCTTTGTAGATAACCCAGTCCTTTTTATTCTACTTCCTGTACAAAAAGCATCGATACCAAAGTTCACTATGTGGTTGCTGCCTCTGGCATCTGAATAGCCACCTTTGCATTTTCATTATTCGTAAGAAAACAGAATATTGGGGAGAACAAACCTTTAGCCAGCCAGAAAATGGCTTTGTTAGCCTCCTTATTGAGTTTACCTACAGAAAGTTGTATTGGCCTGTTTGTGCATCAGAATGAGGATACCATTGGCTAAAGAGGTGCAGAGTTAATACAGTCTCAGTTTCTAAACTGCAGTTTATATACAGGTTTTGGTGAGTATTTTACAGGTTCTCACATTTTCAACTCAAAATAGGGGCCGCAAAAGAAATGTGGCAAATTGCCTGCACCCATTTTAATACCAGATTATTTTTTTTAGCACTGTAATGTCTGGTACAGTCTATAGGGCATGAGGGAGCTGCTTATTTAGAATGGATTTAGATGTAGTTTAGGACTTAAGGATACTGAGTAGCTGCGGAGAATAAAGTGCTAGTTTGCTGAAAAAGGTGAAAGAAATTGTTATTGAAAGAGTTGGTGAAAAAGTCAATTTCAGAAATAAACCAGCAAAATTTTATGTTAAAACAAGAATTCATGGAAGTATAGGGGGAAACCACCCATAATCAGCTATGTGTCTTTAGAAAGGAGTTACAGTCGGGAGGTTTTTAAACCTAGTATCTGTTGAGTGGCTTGGGTAAGAACTCTATTGACCGGCACCTACTTATGGCAATGCAGGTCATCAGTAAAGGAAAATAACTCACCTTTCTAGCCACCTAAGACTGGATTTAACACAGTCAAATGGGAAGAGGTAATGGCAATGTGTGACAGATGGTTGGAGCTGGATTATCAAAGTGAGTGCTCTTCCTGAAATTTGAGTTCCTGGAGGGTGGCCAAGGTCAATCACTACAAGATTAAGGCTCTCTGAGACACTTGGCCGTAATGTTGCTCTTTCAAAATGAGTCTTTGGAACATGTGAATTTGCTATTTGTGAGTGCATAGCAAGTAAGGGGGGAACCCAGTCGCTCATCGACAGTTTGTCACAGGCTGCTGCGCTGCCAGGACCGTGCTGCTGCCAGCATTCAGCAAGCGAGCCAGCCCGAGTGGGAGCACAGAAATGCTGGTTGTAACTCATGTGTCAAGCCCTGCTGTAATCTCCAGCGTAAACTCAGTGCTGCTTTAGTAAAGTCATTGGAGTGCCTGTGGATTTGGAGACTGGGCTTTAACTATGGCGTATAAAACAGGTTGGTAACAGATGCCTGAGCACTTTCACTCCCTTTCTTTAAACTCAGGATGTCAGTTTTGCATCTCAAGGGACATTAAACCTTCTTAATCAAACAGGATTTTGATATCCCAGAGGGACATGTGTGTGCAAATTAGTTGTGCTGAAAATGATCTTCAGAATGACTTTCGTAGGAAAATCAAGGCAAGTGGCAAATGCAGTTTTCCTAAAAGAAAATTTTAGGCTGTACTTACACTGAAATGACAATTAGTTCAATAAGACTGCTATCACATTTAAAAAGGGACATGGCTATTCATGTCTCTTCCAGATGAGGCATTCTGCTGAATGACGCTTGTTCAGAAATGTCTCCTGACTTGTACAGAAAATCAATACCACTATAGTAAATCACACCTTGGAAGAGATTTTGTGTTGCAAGGTACAAAGTCAGCATCGATTTCTGTTGCATGACCAGGATTTCAATACTCTGTAGTATTGTTTTATGAGATAAAGTTTCCAAAACACCTGGGGATGCATTTGTAAGGGAGCAGCAGGAGTGGGCTTCTCCTCAAAGGGAGGTGAGCCAAGGGTGACAGCAAGGCACACAGTGGCACTAGCCTCATCAACAAAAGGCACTCCCTGAAGAAACGGAGCAGGGCTGGTGGCAATAAACAGGATCAGCCACTACTGCAGTGATTGCCAGGCAAGTCCGTGGTGACAAGGCAAGTCCATAGAGACAAAGTACTTCTGAAAGTCAAAAGAAGGTCTTAAGTCTGTGGGTCAGGGTTCAGATCAGCAACACACATGGCCAGGCACAGGCATAGCTGCAACAGCTCAGGCAAGGGTCACAGCTGAGTGTCTGAGCTTCAGTGCAGCCCCCGAGCAAAGGCAGGGAGCCCCCAGAGAGAGCTTTCTCACACAGCTCTTTTTGTACAACTCTGATCCAAGGTCTCATAGCTGCACTGTATCAGAGCTGTCATGTCTTTTCCTTGAAGATAATGGTAAGCAGCTGTCTATACCTCTTGCTTGTTTACAGGCAGAGCATAGTGTTCATTAAAATATGTATTTGGAGACAATTTCTTTAGCTGCTGTCCTTCCTGTGGTAAATTCTTGCCTGTTAGGTGCACAAGAAGGAAACAACTTCCATGTAGTGTGCCATGTTCCCCGACAGCTCTAGTGGGAAGGAGTGAAGACCAAGGCAAGTGTTAAGGAGACAGGACAGGAGGCTAGCCTGAGATGGGAGAGATTCAGGGGTAGAAAGTTTGAGTAGGATGGTTCAGAAACAGGCTAGTGGAGCAGGAGGACATGTCTTTGTATGTCTTTGTTCCTCCCCTCACTGGTTTGTCTGTAACTTCTGCAGTCATGAATTTTGTCAAGCCCTGCTGCCTTTGAGATCACACAATCCTTTCTCCAGTGTACAGCTAACGAACTCTGGTTTGATTAACACTCCCTCCTCTGCCTCCTCTCTGCCTTCCAGTCTGGGCCCTATGCTTGACTCCCTGCAATGCCCCTGTGCTTTTTATCTGAGTGGTCCTTTCTGCAAATGTCACTTAAATTACAATTGAACTTAAACCAGCTCCTTGCTTAAGGTGTCTCCATCCACATTCACTCCTGGTTCATGTCTCTAGCATCCTCTTTTAGGGTTTTTCTCAGAGACTTAGGAATCAATTAGTACTTAATAGAATTAAAACTGATCTTTTGATCACTTTCCCCATGCTCCCCTTTTTCTTCTGTTTTTCTGTAATGACAAAATATCCTTTGTGGGGAAGATTATATTGGACCCATTGCAAATTAGTTCCTGGTAACCATTCCTTATATGTATCTAGTCCCCCTTATCCTTGTTTGAAATGCTGGCACCAAGATAAGCCACCCTAAAAAAAAAAAAAAAAAGTTATTGTGGTATTTCTCTGGCCTTTTCCTCGGGTCTCAATCTCTGAACATCTCCCTCTTCCAAAGCAATGGAACAGAATCTCTGTTCTTTTGTGACAAGATCTGTGTAGGTCAGTTTTGTGTTGGCTGTTTGAAAATGGTGCTTCAGCTGATAGAGAAGCACTCCAAGAAGTCAAATGTTGTAGCCCATTTATATCTCAGCTTGAAACTCTTCCAGGAAGCCCAGAAATTATCTACAGGGCCAGTGATACGTGTAAACCACAACTGAATTTTAAAGAGCTCAGTTATGTTGAAAGCAGCTGGGCAAAGTGCCCATGCCTGTCCCAGGGAATATCCTGCAGAGCTGATGAACAAAGTCTGCATTCTGGAGCATGCAAAGCTTCCTCTGAGATCAGTCAAAGTTTAAAGGCAGAATCTAAACCAAAGGATTTGCATCTTAAGAACGTTACTGCCTTAAACCAGAGAGTATTCACTCATTCTCCTACCAATTTCGTTCATTTACCCACATACTCTAAAACATCAAGATGTGTGTGCCCAGGTGGTATGTCCAGGATCACTTGGGTGTGATGAAGAGGATATGATCCGGGCTGTTAAGTCCTTGACAGGTCTCCAAAGTTCTTTTTGATTGCTGACACTGAACTGGTTTTTGGACCAATCTTTTGTAGCCTTCAGCATTCACTAGGTGTAATGTGTTGGGCTGTCATGACAGTGTCTTGCTAACTTCAGCTTCCAAGACCACTTGTTACTGCTCATTGTTCTGCAGCAATTCTTCCAAAGGTGCATTCTGTATTGAGCTTCTTATTTCCTTCACAGAGCTCTTCTGTGTGAGCAGAACTAGGCACATGCCATCCTCACTGACAAATGCCCACACTCCCACTCTAATACCAGAACTGAGAGGACTTCCCTGCAATATTCTGGTTGCCAGGGAATGTGGCAACATTGGATATAGTACTACAGAAGTTGTAAAGGCCACAGTGGAGCAGACTAGGATGCTTGCTCCTCCTGTTACTTTTCTATCCTCTCTTCAGACAGCCAGGTGCCCTGGAGGAGAAGGGTGTAACCCCACTTGAAGGTAAAAGAGTGAAGAACAAGAGCAGAAGCCCATGTGAGGGAGCTTATAGGAACATGGAGAGATCAAAAGGAAGGCAAAGCTGGAAAAGGATGCAGAAATATGTAAGAAAGAATAGTGATGGGGACAGATATCAGAACTGGATGGATAAAGAACATAAACTGGGAATGGCGGGAGGAAAGGTCAAAAGACAGAAACAACTAGAAATCATTTCCTCCCAGGACCTAACACTGTACTTTAAATGTCTAAGCCTCTACTGTCTAGCATGCGTCCCAGTCGCCTCTTATGGCTGGTCCACTTGGCAATAATAACACAGTTTTGCTAACAGTTACTTTATTTCCTCAGGGGTGGAAATCTAAGGCAGGTGAGCACAGCTGTTCTGGGCTCAGACTGAAGTTCCATCTTGCCCATTATCCACTCTTTAACATGTATGGAAACTTTCGTTATATTTGATCACTCTTGTCACCATCCTCTCAACTTTGCTTAATTCTACAGTGTCCTGTAGAGTTCAGAGAACCTGAATTGTACACCTGGTATTTTCTCTATTATTTTCCTTTTTCTTCTTTTTCTGATTTTTTCTCTTATTTTTAAAAATGCTTTTCAATAAATTACTTCTATTTTATTTGCTATTTTCACCCTTAGTAAGCAGTGAGTTGATATTTTCATGGAACTTGTGATCATTAGCCCAAGATCTGTCTTCTGAGTGGCAGCAATCAGTGCAAAACACATTATTCGGTATGGGAAGGATTTTCCTGTACACAATTGTTTCTTTCAGCATTTATCATTCTTTTCTTGTGAGTTTGAGTGAATAAATTTTAAAATGGCAGACAACACTCAATGCAGCTGACATTCATTATTTTAATTTGAATACTTCAAAGTCATTTTTCACATTGTTTGAAGAGAATTTTATATATATAACCTTAATTTCTTTTTTTCTTTAATAAACCGGGGGTTCAGAAAGTCAGGAATCTGATCTCTATTGCATGTTCATTTTGACACAAATATTATTGTGTGTCATATGAATTTTTTTTTCAGGAAGCTGCCTGATTCAACTTGGATCCTAGCAACAAGTTTCATTAAGTAACACTAATTGCTTTTGTTTTCTTTGAGGGGCAAATGTTCATGCGACTGACCCAAGTCGTGGACTGACTTCACGGGAATGGGCTTGTTACACAGGAAGATCAGAATCTGCCTTCATCATGCGAAAGCTGATGGACAAGCCATGCCCGGAACAGTTTTGTGAAGAATTTAAACCAGAATGGCCAAAGATGAAAGAACTTCTTGCCAAGGCTGCAGAGCCAAAAAGCTGTTTGCAGAGGATTTCTGAGTGCATGAGGGCAGCTGTCTCCTTCCGATGTTTCTACGGCCCAGAAGAAGATGGGGTCCTCGACCACATGGTGAAGGTGACAACAAGTTTGAGCAGTCCTTTCATTGCTCTGTCATGCCGGACTGTGTGCCCAGGCAGCCCGCCTTCTGTGGGGAAACGCAGACTGGCTGTGCAAGAAATCCTTAGGAAGCAGAGAGCTGAGGAGATCCGATCTCAGGACAAAGATCACTTTAGCAGCTATGAGAAGCTATTTCAGAACTCCAGAGTGACAGTGATCCCCAAGAAAAAGGACCGGCGAGCCAGCCTGCAGCCCATCAGCCTGACAGTCTCCCAGGTGAACCCCGTAACCACAAGGAAAGCAAGCCTCCTGCCCCTCCACCTGCTTAGGCGGAGCAGTGTCAGGCCGGGATTTGTCATCCCCAAAGTCCGGATCACCAAGGCTCCTCCACCCACCTTCCAGCCAGAAAAGGTGAGAAGGAGGAGCAGTGCAAAGGATGATCCCTATTTGCAGATTCCTAAATGGAGATACAAGGAGCTAAAAGAGGAGCGGAAGAAGGCAGAGGAACAGGAGAAGAAAAGAGCAGAAGAGGCTCAAAAGCAGAGGCAGGTGTCTCCTGCCAGATGCAGGACCTGATTTAAAGGCAGTTGCTTAGAAGGTTTAAGAGCCATTAGTCCTGCTATCTGAGCAAGATAACAGGCTGAATGCCTTTGTGCATGCCACTGCTCACAGAGCTGAAATACTGAATAATGGCCTTTAAGGTGCAGAAACAGGGCAAGGGCTATGCCACAGTGTGTCTCATGGTGGAGCAGGAAGGTATTTTGAGGTGGAAGACATACTAAGCTTATCTGTCTGCTGTTGATAGGAAGTTTTAAGTGGTGCAGTCCTTTTGTGGTTTCCTCTGTTTTCCAGTTCCAGGTGAATGACTGAGAAACAGCTTGAAAAACAACATGTGTGTGAAAGGATCATATTTTGTGTTTGTTCATTTTGTCATGGACAAAATTAAGGAGTCGTGCTTTTGACACTAGACATTCCTCCCTCTCCTTGCTTAAGTAGATGTATTGCAAGGTTTTATAGTAAGAATGGCAAGTTTAAAATATACCACAGTGTTGGTAATCAGTGAAAATCCAGGTCTATGATCGTTTTGAATATACTAAGCACTTTAATTCCAGTAATCAAAGTTTAAGACAGGATAGGTATTAAACTGTACAGCTCTATACAGTCTGTATGGATGCAGTTTTTAATGCTATTGTTTGTTCTGCTGAATAGAAAAAAGGGCCGTGTATGAAATGTTTCTGTAGTTGAGGTATTCATATCCTCTGCAACCAAAAAACCCCATACACCATGATTTCTTTGAAGCAACAGAGAAGCTGAGGTAATTTTTGAATGCCACTGTCATCTAAGATTTGCCTCCCCCATTAAGTTTCTCTGTATTCTCTATCTGTTGTCTCCTCTTTAGTCTCAGGGAATTTTTTTGTCATTGCATTTAACTGTGAAATAAGGGAGATGGTGAGCCACAGGTGGGCTTTTTTTAGGTTGATATTTAAGTTCCTCTTAAAAAAATCCACCAGGTTTATTGTGAGCCTCTCCATATTATAGCCAGGCCAGGAAAATTACGCAGCTTCCAGAAACTGAAGCAGTTTTTCCAGGTTTTACGTCCAGTCGTATGCTATGAACATCCAGTCAGAGATGCAATACCAGGCAGCTTGACCACTAACATTTGGAAACCATGGCCAGATGTCATTGTAAGGTTTGATAGCACACCCCTGGGTGCCTGGAGAGGGCTATACCTCACCCCTCTGTCTCAACACTGGGGAAACCTTCCCTAGTATAGGAGTGCATCTCAGAGTGGCAGTTCCCACAGGTTGCTGCAGGTTAAGGTTAAGGCCTTATTTGGTTTTACCAGCAGTCAGTCTGAATGGCATGCCAAACCCTGGCTGTAAACCTGCTGCTTGCTGAAGAAAGACCACATTCATGAAAGCAGAGGTCAAACACAAACAGCAGGTCATCCAGCACATGCTCAGGCTATGTTTTTGCTCAGGTTTTGCTCCCGTTTTCAAAATGAAATGTGCTGTGGTGTGTCCTCCTGATGGTGTTGCTCTGCTGGAGCCTGGGCAGACCTCAGCTGCTGCTGTCACCAGCTTCTCCCTTCAATTAAAGAGAGGGAAAACTTTTCCGTCCTTTACTCCCACAGCACAAAGGCTGGCTGCAGTCTCACTGAACTTGTCATGAAACTGTGCACGTCACAGGAGAAATAAATTCAGTTGATGATTGAAAACTAGTGCCCAGATTGGTATTGCTAGCTAGAGTCTGCGGGGTCAGGGCTTGACAGAGGTTATGGCAGACGTGTGAAACAAGGATTTTTCCACACAGCCTGTTCTTTGTATCTCTTGGTGGAGGAGCTGTGCTGGCTGGACTGCACTGCCAGGTTAGAGTTGGAGGAATACACACCCTGCTAATAAACCTCCCCAGCTCTGGGAATATAAAGAGGATTTTAGTCTGCAGGTACATCAGTGCTGTGCAAGGCACGGGCACTAATTTTGTAATGGCTTTGGTGTGACCAGAATATAAGCTGAATTTATTTCTTGGAGAGTAGGAAGACAATCTTTTAGCTGTCTGTGGCAAAGACATCAGGATGGATTTTTGAATTGGTACTCTGAATTGAATGGTTTAACTATTAATTTTTGTTTAATGCCAACCCAGCGTACTGAAGATTTAGCATTCAGATTCAGTATCTGAAAAGCAACCTGTGCTGCAGGTGAACACTTGAATTCTCACTCTTGGCATCACTTGCAGGAGACATGCAATTGACAGGTGCTCTCAGGGATTAACATACAGGATGTTATAACTAGGGGCTGAAAATGAAGCCTGTTTTCTAACCCTTTGTACTTTACTGTGTATATGTGTATAAACGTGGTATTTCCATTAAAAGAGGCACAAGCTGTTAAACTTACTTGGCGACCTTATTCTTCAGTGTGGTTTGGAGATGCCTTTCACTTTTCAGTAGATCGAAAAGCCCACCCATTTACACCAATGGACTAATCAGCACCATCTGAAAGCAGTTTGGTTTCCCTGGAAGGAGCTATTGTGGGTTAACTTCCACTCCTTGTGAATTTTTCCTTAGGAGTAAAAGAAAACCACTGCATTTGTCCCGACTTCGGGCTTTGGCTGGCCATCTCGGTGGAGAGAGAAGCCGTTGCTTTGATGACCTGCGGCCACATTGCTCTGCTGCAAGCAGAGTCCCCCGGCATCCCTACGGACGGTGTGGCTCCATTTTGTGCATTTGTGTAAAGCTTTGCACTTGCTAGGTTGGGAAGTACAGGCACAGGTCTCTGCCTCCTCGTTGCCTTCCTCCCCTGCTGCCTCACTGCCCTTCCAGCCATCTTACTCCTCTTTATCACCATCCTTATGCAAAGTGCTGTGCGGCTTGCTTGCTTTTTTTATTGTCTGTCTGAGAGTCTGAAGGTTACAGTGGGCAAAGCTCCTGCAAAACATGCTTCTGGAAACCTGTGGCAAATGGACCATAGCAGGGGAGGAGGCACTTCTCCATCCATCCATCCCCCTTGAGCTGCTGCCACTGAGGAGGATTTGATTCCTGTTGGATTTCAGCACAAATAGAGTGGTTTGGTTTGTGTTTTGTTGTTTTGATTTGGTTTTGGTTTTTTTTCCAAGAGGCCCATAACTATGAAATACGAAGTGATATCAGCTATACTTCAGATCACTCTTGGTCACTCAAGCAGGACAGTTTACCTCCTAAAAAAAAGCACATGAACCCTTGGCAGCTCCTCCTGGCAGCTGGAGCCCCTGAGGGAAGGCAGAGGTGCTGCTGCAGGAGGATGCTCCCACAGAGGGGAAGGGAACACTGATTCCTAGGGTGGAGGAAGGTTTTCCACCTGCCTTTTGATGCCAGGCTGCAGTCTGGCACGTTAGTGGGAATGATGCTCCTGAGCATTGCAAGTGAAACGAGCACAGGCTGTGTCTGCCTTCGTGGCCATTGCTTGTCTCAGTGCACTGTGAGCTTTGGCATGACAGTCAGCCTCTTGCCATCTGATGCTCACTCACTGGGAAGCACCCAGCCTGATGGGCTGACTTACTTTTGTACTAAACAACAGGGATTTAATATAGTCACAGTGGAAAGTGAAATCCCAAACACTTCCTGATGTTCTTTAGAATCATACTGTGCTCTTATCTCTGGAGAGCAACAGTGTTGCAAGGAAGAGACCACCAACCCCATGGAAGGTTTTTCAGGCAGGAATGCAGAATTACATGTAATTGGCTCCTTGTGCAACTATGTGTTATTCATTTGGGGCTTTTTATGCCAATGAAAAATGTTCCTTAAGCCTTGAGAAAAATCCTCACTAGGCCTCTTCATTGAATGCCTTTTTCTTATAGTCCTGAATGCTCATGCAGTCCTGCTAAGGGACAAATACTGGAGCAGCTGGTGAAAAACCACATTGAATAGAAAAATGCCATACAGATACACAGCATTCTTTGAGGGTATTTCTTTTTTAAACATCTACGTCTCAGCAGGAAACTTCCAAAAGATGTGACTGAAAATAGGACCCAATATGCAGGATTTGCAGATGGTCTGAACTGAAGTCTTCTCTTCTTTTCTGTAATTCATGTGATGCAGCCTGGTTTTGCTAGGTCTGCTCATCGTGCCTCACAACTTAACACTCCACAGTTTGGTTAGATACCCGGAGGCCGAAGGTGGGCAACAAGCTGGAAAGGGCGGTTGTGTCCCTCCCTCCTGTCCATGCACTCCTACTTGCTCCCAACAAACATGGCATTTTGCTGGATTTGTATTCCACCAGTTTAATAAGATAGACATAACTGCTGGAGCCAGTGCAGGGGAGCAGGGAAGGGAAGGAGTGAGACAGTGTCGCTCAGAGCCAGCAAGCTGCTAGGTGGCTCAACCAGTGCTCCAGGCTGTGCCCAAAACAGCAAGGAAGAGCTCCCCAGCACAGGTTAGGCAGCTCCAGAAAACATCTAGCTGTGTGACACTCAGGTGACACCCTTGTACAAGTATTTGTATCTCATCCGAACCTCAAGGAAAGGGGCTTGAACTGGTTTGCAGATGGTCAGGAAAATTACAGCCCCCCGCCTTCCCCCCTCATCCTTTGAGCCCTCTTTGGAAAGATTAAACAAGCACCAGCACCAGAGCTGCTCAGTGGCTTCAGCCATAAAGTAGGGCAGAAAGGTTTGTAAGAAATGGGAATTATCCTCACATTTTTATTCCTTTTAAATTATCACAGGTGGAATTACAAATCCATATGGTCATTTGTTTCATTTAAAGAGCTTCTCCATTACTTAGATAATTACTCACCCAGAGAGTGTATTCAGCAGAGAGAGCAGCTGAGCAGTCAGCCTGCCATCTTCTCAAGGCAAGCGAAAACTAGACTGACAGTTCAGCAGATTCTCCATTTAATAAATTTTGCAAATAAAAAATCTTTGAATTCCAAGACACTGAAAACTGCTGAACTCATGCTATCAGAGATAACAGTGGGCAGAGATAATCCCTGGAAGAGTGAACAAGAGGCAATGGAGGCAGCAAGGGGAAAATGTCTATGGCATGTCTTTGAAGTAAGACCAAGTCGGCTTTTTGACCCAATTTTTTCTGACTATTGTGCTGACAAGAGTTAAAAGCAGCCACAAAGGCTTGCTCTGATCTGCTAAGGAATATATTATTTCAAAAGAAAGTGATTCAGTATAAGCTTCCTTCAGCGTCTCCTCCATTTTTGGCAAATTACCTTGTGTTCAGGAAGGTGTGCAAAAATAGTTGCTCAAACCGACTTGGAAAGCCAGTTTCCCAGCATTCACTTTTGAAGATTTTTTTATTCAGCAGTGACTTTGGACAGAGTTATAAAAATCTTGACCTGAGGTGGGGGAAAATGCCTTCAACAGCATCTTGAAAATAAGGAAGTCAGATAAATCTGTCATCCAGCAGGCTGGTCACCAGGGACCCTGTCTAGGCGGTAGAGCAACCCGTCTACCAATATGAGTTAAGACAAATACAAGATCAAAATAATAACCCATAACAGGGAGCATCACTTAGGTCCTTCCCTGTGTACCTGTGCTAAATATGTTCAAGGTGCCCAGGCCTGCCCTTTGGAGAAATAATGCTGGCCGGAGGAGTTGAAGACCAGAGGCAGCCCGCAGAGTGGTGGCAGGCTGTTTGTAGGATGGATACACACAGATCAAACAATGAAAACCTGAAATCAGCTCGTTCAGAATAGGAGACATCAAGCAATTGATTTCAGTATGGATATACTCCTTGAGTCCAAGGTTGGTCCTCCCTGTTAACAGGGAGGCCAAGAGATCATTTCTAGGGTTGTAAAAACAAACTAGGGCTTCAGATATGCTGTGAGGCAAAGGCTTCCTTAGAAATAAAACTCTTCATCTGTATAAGTAACTCACATAGGGATAGTCCTGTATCAGCTCAGTTCAACTGGATCCCCTGCAGGAGCTGTAAAGGTTGTCTATCTGATGATCCTGGACACTCTTTCTCTGGGCCGTCCCCCAAGAACAAATGGAAAAAAAAAAAGAAAGAAAAGTGTTCATCATCCCCAGGTACCATGCCTCTCATAACACCTTCTCTGCTTGTAGAAGGTCCAGGGAGAATTATTTCCAGGGAAAGATAGTTTGGGAAGTCCACCAAGGAACAAGATAGGGAAATTGTATTCGGAGATGTGTTTCAAGTGTTTCTGACCACAACTCTCGGGTCATCCAAGTAAGCAAAAAATATATTCATAAATACCTCTAAAGGTATTACAGGCTGTCACAGTATTACAAAGGAGGCCTGGAGAATGCCACATGGCAAATGAGAAGGGCCAACTCATTTTGCTTTGGAGAACAGGAATTTTCTTCTGCCTGGAGAATGCCTATGCACAGCTAAATATATCATTTAAGGATAAATGCTCATAAACTTTTTTGCTTTGGCTGTGGAAGCTGCTGACCACTGAGAAGCCTAAATGATGTCAGCTAGAGCCATGCTTAGACCGAGATGTGTTTGATAAATACACTGAATAAGGACATCCCAAAATTGGCAAACTGGATGCCCCAAATCAGTTCCCTACCTATAAAATACCTATATAATTGATATATTAATTATACACAATATTAAATTAAACCATACCTATAAAAGTACCTGTTGGTAACATAGTCATACATATATGTCATTCATCTATGAAGTACTAGGTGCTATGTATATATAACATCTCTATATATTCATATCTGTTTAGAAATTTATAAAATATATAAAAAGTCTCTCACCTCCCAGTGATAATATGAAGCACTCAAATATGTTAATGATGACATCTCTAAGAAAGCCTGCGTTAAATAATTGTTCTGTAAGAGGAACAAATCATTCAGGGTATAATATGGAGGCTACAAAGAGAAAACAGACCAGCTGTCTTTTCACTGAACACTGTGGAGTGCTTGCATGGGAAGAGGCAGGGGCTTCTGTGAAAAATTGTACTTCATTGGATAATTAAAGTTATTATGCATATTAATTTTGCCTAGTCAGGTTAAATTTGGCACTTCTCTTGGCACATTTGAATTTACAATGTTCGTAGCATTCTTTTATGTCTATAAAACTGCAGCGGTTTGTGGATAATTAGTGGGCCAAATGCTGATGTTTCAGTCCAGTCTCAGGAAAACAGAAGCAGTTGTAAAAATGGGTTCAGGTGGTTCCTTTTCCCCTTCCTGCTGTAGCAGCTTCCCACATGCATGATAGTTTGCTATTTTGCCCAAGCCCTTCCTCCTTCCCATCAAAACCAAACAGAAACCGTCAAGAGCAGATGTGCAAAATCCATGCTCGCAGGCACCATCCTGGATGCATTCAGTGATCTCTCATAAAGCACCGATCCAACAGTGAGCTCCTGTAAATGTGGATCAAGAAAGGGGCACAGGAACTGCTCCATTATCTCTGCTCCATGTGTGTGCACACACGTG